TTCAGTGAAACGTCTCTTCACACTGGCCAGTTCTTTCAGGCTTATCTTGGTTTGCCCCATGTAGAATTGTTCATGGAACAATCTTTCCAACTGGGTCCAATGATGGATCGAATTGGGGGGGAGAGTTGTAAACCAAGTAAAAGCGTTCTTGGTTAAAGAACTTGGGAAGTACTTGATCCTTAGGTTTTCGTTATTCGAAATGTCTCCTGCTTCGATCAAGTATCTCGCCACATGCTCGACAGTAGATTCTGTCGTGTCCCCAGAGAACTTAGTAAATTTGGGGACTTTGCATCTAGGAGGTAAGTCCGTTTGTAACACGTATTCTGACAATGGAGATGTAAAGTTGGGCCTTCGAAAGCCCATGTTCATCCCATTCTGAGTCATGATCCTTTCAATCATGGTTGCCAGATTGTTTTCCAAACCCATGTTTTGGTATTGGATATGCTGAACCACTTCGTCAGCATTTTGGTTTCTGTTAACTAACCTTACCTCTGGGGTTATTACCCTAGGTTCCTCGACAGGTTGTTCCAATCGTGCCCTAAGGTTTTCTTCGACAGGCTGTTGAGCCTGGTTAATGGTGGTTTCTTCCTCTAAAAATATCCCCTGATTTCCCCTTATTTGCGCCCTTTGGGGCTGTCGAATAGGTGGGGGTACTCCAAAGAAGTCAGCCAAACGCGTCATTTGCGCTGTAACTTACTGATTCGATTGAGTAGTGTTTTGTATTAGAGGGTTTAGCACTGTACTCAAAGTTTGTGCCAACATTTGCACCATATCATGGTTGCTTTCGTCCATTTGTTGCCTCAAGACTGCTGTCGAGGCATTTGTAAGGCCATGGGCTACTTGGGACGTTCCTCCTAAGAATTGGGTCCTATTTCTATTCGCCATGCCTACTCCAGAGCCTTGGAGTGGCGAAGAGGCACTCACTAAAGGGTCTGAAACAGTGGACGCAGCATTCGTCAGGCTTGCCACTTCAGAAGTTGGCATACCATAGAATGGAATGAATCCTGGGGGAACCAAAGGCCTTGTGCCTAAATTTCCCCTTGGTGGGGGAGTTCCCAGAGGCATCCTGGGGCCTGTTAACGAAGGTATTGGCCCCGTGGTTGTGACCGATACTGCTGGTGTCGAACCAACATTTGTCGCTTCACTTACGGTCATATTAACCGTTGCTCCCACACTCGTTTGTGGGATTTCGTTAGTGTTTGGCGGATTCGCCATCTCTTCCCTTCTTCTGGCAGTATTGTTATCGTTAGTGTATATTCTACCACTTCTCAATAACATACAACTCGAAAAGATGAGATTATTTTCAACAATCAACACACAGTCCCACCGGGTGTGCCAATTTGTTTACCTTGGTTTTTGGTAAACAACCGCTGATCCTCCAAATGGTTACTTATTTGGTTACTCGCAGGATCGATCAGATTGATCCTAGGACATAGGTTGATTTTGAAGTTTGATTAAATTGGATAAGGCTTTAAATAAAAAGGTTTCAAGTAAATTGCATGAAGGAAAGACTTGGTAAAATAAACAAGGCTTAAAGTAAAAGGCTTCGACAGGAATGTAAAGGAGAAAACAAGTAAATTTCTGGAAAAGTAAATGACTTTGATAAATAAAATTGGTGTTTCACACATACATTTCTCAACAATTCTTTCTCACACGCTGGGTACTCGAATCTATATGAGTGACTTTGTATAGAATTGTGAACACCCGTGAGAAACTACATGTCTACTACTATTTATACTAAAACATCCCAAGTAACCGTCGGGCAGTTACACTGCTTCGAGATCAATCCACTTGGCACGTTCTCCACGCTCGACGCTCCAGATCCTTGCACGTTTGCACGTGGTAACTGCTGGAAACCGTTTTCCCTCCAAAAGCTTGAATTTCAAACTGCTCCACTCTGGACCATCGAACACTTTCGTCAAGAGACATCTTCGACGAGAAACTCCTTCGACGTCGAAGGCAACCAGCCTTCTTCCTTGGAAGAAATCTTCTAAGTACTTTGCCATCTTTCGACGGGCATTTCGACAGACTCAGCCAGTCGAAAACATCTTTCAGCTTTAATGGCTGCCATCAACAAAACAAAGGTGTCGAATTTAGGAGCCAACACTTAGTCTCTAATTTAGTTCCACTTATGTGAGTTTGATTGCTTTGTTTGATAAGTGTTGATATTTCAACATAGTCACACGGTTCGCAGTTCACTCTAGTACGTGGTACGAATTCGGGTACGTGGTTCGCAACTCTCAAAAAATTAAATACGCTGGAAGTATACAGAGTCGGTACACTATTTAGATTTGTTGTATGCTAAAAAATAATAATCGGTACGCTATTATTAAAGAATGAGTTACTTAATGGCATAAAATAGATAATTTAAAAATATTACTACTATTGTATTAATAAAATTCAACTCTTTCAAAAATTATAATTTAAAACTCATGAGTTTGCTAAAACTGCTTGAGTCCCACATCAGATACAGATATATAATGAAAGTAAAAGTACTATATAAATAGAAGACTTCAACATTATTTCAAGCCAAGCAGTTAACATGCTCTCTAAGTGGGGTCATGCATAGCTTGCAATTTAAGTTTAAATATTCACATTTAAGTTGGCAGCAAACTATATGTGGAACCATGCATAAGTAGTAATTAGTTTTAATTTAGCGAATTTTCTGAGAATTCTTGTAAACCGGTTCATAAAAGAACTGCGAACCGATAAGGTGCAAACCAATTCATGGTTTGTAGGAGATATCTGCGAATTATGTGATTATGGTTTCGACTCATTTTGAACTAAAAATTCTATTCATGGATGAATCAACAACATAGATTATGACAAAGTGGTTGTGGTGCCCCAGATTTGGAGTGATACTGATATGACAAGTATTGAACATATACGGGAATTCAAAATGTGGATTGTGACAAGGTTTTGATCATAGATGCATGTATGTATTTTATATTATTAATAAAGAAATGCATAGATATTTAGATTAATATTGTATTGGTTATGTTTCATGGGACTTTCTACGATGGTTATGTCAAGAATTTTAAATTAACCAATTGCTTTCATTTGCCTGTGGATATATATGCTGTGATTTTCCCATGTTGATTCAAGATTCAAGCTTTCCAACATTATTTTTAACTTATTTTTAAGTTGTATATAATCCTTCTGATATTAGTCAAATTATCTATGACGTAACTCCTACTTTAAAACAATTACTGAACAACTTTCAACTTTGAAAATTCCTCCTTATTAACCTATAGGTATCATTTTACTTTAAAGTTCTAATTTTCTAAGTTTCCACTATTGCCGACTTGTGAACTTGGTTTGGCCTTTCGCCCATCATTTCTAAATTTTTCGTATGTAGTTCTTTATCCGCTTTAAATAACAAATTAGAAGAAAAAATCTGTCATAGAGTAGTCTCGACTAAGTATCACTTATATAATTATAAAGGCCCACTTCACGTCAGCATTCAAAATGTCTGAGTCTTGTCAACCATCTTAACATATAACATACAAGATTCTTATGAGTTTTTTTTTCTTTCCCTCATGCCTATTGCTTACTCCTGTCGAATATTAACAAATGCACCTTGCTGCTCGGGAGCCAAAGAAAACACAAATATAATTGCCTATAGAAGTTGACGAATTTGATCCTGCACGGGAACCCAAATATGTATGCTTTGAAGATGTGTTCTTTCTTTTCGACCAACTTTGGTTTTTCCTTATTTACTTCCATTATTTCTAGAGTCGGAAAAAAAAGTAGTGCATCCACTCCTGTTCCAAAGAAGAAGAAAACCAAGAAGGACCCCTGCAATGTTGCTCCTGAGGTCGAGCCTGCTGACGAGCTAATGGCCTGGTTTTTTCCTCCACATGCCATTTCTAAGCCCTATGAACACTTGGCCGACCAAGTAATAGATATAGACTATAATTATGGTGAGAAAAAGAAACAGTCATCTATTGATACTCCTGATTCTCAAGTAGTTGAGAAGAAGAAGAAAATAAAGAAATTGATTCTCAATCTTTCCATACCAAAGTAATAGAATAATGACACCACCCCAATTTTAAGGTGAGGAACACATTGCGTTATACTTATTTCTTATTTTGCAAGAGAATCCACTTCTAACCTCATCTGCACCAACCCAAATTGCCCCCAATGTCCAACAACCTAAGGATCAAGACATTAACACTTTTTTGACTCACGTTCTCAACATCAATTTATCGATGCTGAAAGATACTAGCTCACTTTCGGTTCAGCTAACAAAACCTATGAGATTAGTCGATGAAACCTTTGTCGAGCAGCTCGTGGTTGAAGAAAGCAACCAATGATCTAGTTTGGGTCAGAATAACTCTGGGTGTTTGTCTCTTCATGCATATCAAGATCTCTATCGACACCTTGAAAGAGCCAGAGCCTGCAAACCAAACACAACAAGACCAGAACCAATAGTACATCAATATACAATGGAGGTCTTAATATATACAATATTTATTAAATAGAGACATCTCATTTAACTTCAATTTTTTTTATAAAAATCTTGAGATATTAAACCGTAATTTTAGTATCTTAAGATTGGATCGAAATCCGTCTACATTAAAACTATGTGATTTTCTTGGAGTAAACTTATATGTTTTGAATTTAGATTAATTTTATCATTGACACATCTTAGCAATCATTTGTCTTTTATTTATATATAAACTTTATTATTTAAATATAATATAAAATATTCAAACTCAACATTCTTTATCCTTTTGAAACTTATTAATCACTTGCAACAATTTGGCTCTACATTAATACATTTGATGGGATTAAAAGATTTTCATAATTTTAAATAAGTTAAAGAAATTCTTTCAACAATTCATGCCCCATATCACTCACATAACAAGACATACATATACACACACAAAAGATCATGCATTATAATATATAACTAATACACTTAACAACAATCATCAACACAATTTTCACCTTATTTAATTAACCACAAGCAACATCATCACTTATCAACTTATCATTCAACATTCTAACGAACAAATTACAAGTTCTTGATCCTTAGACCCTTTCTTGTCATCAATTGAACAAATTTGATTCTTTTCCACCTTGTACACTTTCTCATCAGATGTTGTTACCTGTGGCATTTTCGGATTCTTAAGTATAGCCTTAATCCACACAAACATGGAACTTCCCAAACTAACCCAAGATATAGCTTTACCAACCTCATGAGTGTAAATCTGTCCAGAAAAACACCAACTTAAAAGCAATACATTTCCATTGAAAAACAAAGAAACAAGTGCTTCAACCAGCTTTATAAGTATTTCATTAGTAGTAAATGGCCCAATTAAAGAAGGTCCAGAAAAGTTTGATTTTTCGTTCTCATAATTCATCGCGGGGAAAAGAAAAGACAACCTTTTTACTTTAATTTTACGATCGTTTATCCACTCGATTAAACGATGGATTAATTTCGAGACAAATAAATGTAACAAACCAATGACAATGTTAAAGAGACCAGTTTTCATAATTTCAACATTAAAATGAATGACTGTCCCCAAATACCAATCTATTGGGGCACGAGTTACACCCCAATAAACTAAAGAGGGTACTCCAATCCCAACACAGATTCCTAAATGAGCATGAAACTCAAGTGCAAACTTGAAGTATAAGCTTATTGGAATACTTAGACCCCATGACCATTGTGAATTTATGAAATTACTAGAAAGAGAGGAAGAGCCTTCATTGATGAATGCAAGGATACATATAGAGAGGAAATGAACGATCTTTTCAATATCAGGACCTTGCAAACCCATAATGGTTGATATGAGGAGGGGAAATGTTTTTTTTGGTTGTGGATCATTTGAAGAAATGTTGGAGGTAAATAGGGTTATTTATAGAGCTTGAGAAACTTCATAGAAATTTCCACTTTTATCGACACTTGGAAAGTGTTGTTAATGTAGAAACCAATAATGTACCTACAGTTCCTATATGTATATGTCCATATGAAATTGGTTTCTTGGAGTATTGATGATTTATGTTGCTATGTGAGCAAGAAACTTCACAGCACTTTCTTGATGGTGATTAAGCTCGTATTTTAATATTAATCTTTTTAAAGACCATTTTCTAGTTTTCTCTATAAATATTTTTTTAAATTGAATGATAGTTTTCTCTGCAATCATTTATAGTCATTTAGAGTATAGTTCATTAACTTCTCCGCTTGCAAGTTTGCATCAAATATGCGACCTGTTTAGATTTGATCTTAATATTTCATATCAAACATAATGCATGTGATTAATATATAATTTAGATAGTAATGGTGTGAAGAAAAATAAAACTAAAGAGCCAATTTAAGAAAATAGTTAAATATAAAGAACCCTTTTATCTTTCTTTTTTTTTTCATGTCAAGTTAATGTTATCATTCTCATTGCTTGGATGGCTAAGGCATCAGTTGGACTTTTAGACGAAGGTGTATTATGAATATAAAAACTGATAGTTATGCATGCATTTCATCTCCCACTATCAATTAAATTCAGTGAATGTTTCAGTATTAAAATAAATAACAAGAATGCATAAAATACAGAACTGAAAGCAAATGTTGAATTGATAATAAAACTTGTTTGACACACAGCTCTGTAATAGATGTTAAGCACATCTAAAATATAACACTCTTGATCAACTTATCCCAACAACCATAACCTATAATACACCACCCATTTTGTTCACACAACTTGAATAAAAGAGATTATTCTCAAGAAAAGGTTCTCAAAAGCAGTATCATTTTCCATCCCCAGGCGCACCACCAAAAAGATAACCCAGAGAAGAGTCACCACCAGGGGCAGCATGAACCTTGGTTGAGGGTCGGTCCTGAAGCCAAATAAAAAAAATAAAATTGTCAAAAAAAATAATTCAAGAGAAATCTAAGCCCATACTGAAGAAGCTATAGCAAGAGGAAGATATCTAGTTTTCATTTATCTCTTCATATTGTTAGGGGACGTTTTGTCTTAATGTAGTTGCAACTTGGAAGATAACAGCGTCTGGTGTGACAAAAATAATAATAAAACACTGTTCCACTATAAATATTAGTCACCTAGATACAACACAGGGTTGAGTTCAGTTTACATAACAAAACATAATATGCCTTTCATGTCATTTTCATATTACAGCTTATAAGGTCAAGAATCAACGTTAACTAATAGGAAATCAACCTTAAGCATTATGATGTATGAACACAAATATCAGTGTTGATAGTCAGATATAAAGGTAATAGGTAGATCAATAACATTTTTTATTTTAGGTATGGGGGAATTTAACTCTTAACATTATTTTATTTCCTCAAATGCATGTGGTGACCGGCGGAAACCATGGTCTAGACAAGTTCATTGCAACAAAAAATACAGCCAAACATACTTGGGATAGTCAAATATACTGAGCTACCATATCTACTTCCACATGGTCTAGACAAGTTCATTGATATCTACTTTCACATGGTGTAGAGAGTTCATTGCAACAAAAAATATTACCAAATATACTTGGGATACTCAAATATACTAAACTACCAATCTGTTTTCACAGGTGTGCAGTGCACCAGATTTAATTCCTCAGTATTTTCATATTCATGATGTTGTAAAGTAGTTCAGGCTTGAACTGTCACTCTAATAACGCTTAACATGCAAAAGAAGAAATTATATATAACAAGCAGAACTAATACCGTGATGAAGTTGCCGGTGTTCAGGCCATCAATAGAATTACTATTGATACCAGCAGGCTTGTTTGGGTCTATTGCTGTAGGAGCAGCGGCTGGTTTTGAAGGGGGTGCATTATCTACATGCACTGCAGGAGGTTGGGCATTAGTTGTTGCTGGTTTTGGGGCCTCTCCACTTCCAAAAAGGTAACCCAGTGAACTTTGGCCACCACCACTGCTATTTCCACGACCCATATCTTTCAACAGCTTTTTGAAAAGTAAAATCTAGTTTCTGCCATCACATGAGTGTGAACAAAATTACAAAAAAATTAGAATCACGGCATAATATACACTGAAAACTAATCAAATAAGTCAGCATTCAAACAACAAGCAAATTTTTTACGTTTTCTTCTTACATGGGAGGCTTAGCCATTAGTAACAACTACAAAGTTTGGTGATAATAAATCACAAATAAAATGACCTAGTAAAAAAATTAACAACATGATCCCCAAATCTTCCTGACACTGTTTGATAGGCCCATAACCAAGACATATAGGAAAAGGAGCCGACATAGACCCAGTGATAATGGTAAAGGTCCAAATGTGTACAACAGAAAGAAGAGGGGTGACATCTAGCTAGATGGGATAAGTCAGTGAGGAAGGGGAAGAGAAACATCATAATGGGGACATGCCTTGTGGTGATGTGGGCAGTCAATTGGAAATGGAATTGATTAGGAATAGTTCGGGCATGCTTTCAGGAATCCTTACCCCAAATTCTCTAAACAATTCAATGCATCTCTAATCTAGTAGACCAATATCATCATTCATTTCACAGCATAAGCGCTAAGCAACAAATCAAATCCAATTAAATCCAACAAAATTTCATCCGCAAAGGCATTAAATTACACCACATCAAAATCATCTTAAAAATGCTCATAAAAAGAGTAAACTAAGATAATGTAAAAAGCATAGATCTGAACAAACGAGAGAGTAAGCATCTAAACGGATCTCACGTATAAAAAAAAAAGCATAGATCATAGGAAATAAAAACTACGCACAGCGATAGGGTTTCAGATCCAGTATACAAACCTAGAATCAACAGCGAAAGTTCGATGAAAATCGAAGCGATTGAATGATTTACGGACCCTAGTTGGAAATTGAAAAGAAAAAAAAAAGAGAGAGAGAGAGAGAATTACCTTTGGTTGGCGTGAGTGGCTGTGGAAGAAGCAGATCTGGAAAATGCGCAAGGGGGCTTGTTAGAGTGGTTAGCGGTTTAAGAATGGGTATGTATGTACGTTATAAATAGTGCTTCTCGAACTTCGATAATTCGTATGCTATTATTTTATTTATTCAAATACAATATTTTAAATTTTAAATTACACCCGAAACGCTATATATTTTAAAATGAAGTATTTATTCGTTTAAAATTTGAATTTCTTTAAATTTTGACGTTGGTCAATAACGTAGTATTAATGAAAACCGGACGGAATAGGGCGGTTGAATCAATCGAATCGAAAATCAATCCTATATTCAATCTATAACAAGGAAAAAAATCTCCTAACATTAGATCGGTTAAAATTAACTAAACACGTTTTATATTTTCATTTTTTATTCATAAAATATATTGGTCCAAAATGAAATTTTTTAGTTATGATTTTTTAAAATGTCTTTAAAATCAAAAATATATTTTTAGTGTGTATCATACATCATACAAAGATAAATTAAATGTAGTTTCACTTTATTCAAAAGACAAAGATAGATTCAAAATTATAGTTTTGATTGCAATCGATATTCTATATTTAGTTTGTATAGCCGAAATATTGAATTTTCTTTCATCTTGTCCATTTTATATATTACTGAAAACATATTTTTGGTATTATGAAAAATACAAATTACTTAAAACAGTAACCAACATGTTGAAGGATGATCATCCTCATTCTTCATCTTTCCATAAACCCTCTCAAAAATCCTTTCATTCTCAATTCATTTTTCACTCAAAATCTTCATTCTTGTGGTTCATCATATCAAAAGGAATTCAAGGAAGTGAAATTTAATGTAAAGTTTATTCATTTCTGTTGCACCCCAAAATTTGTCCTCTCATGTTTTCCAAAGTCTTCCCCCTGCATTGTTGACCAGAAACCCTTGCCTAAGGAAAAAGAAAATTTTCGAGTGGTGCTTTAAGTACCTTTCGCTTGGCATTCTGAAAGACCCTTCGATTGGTATTCTGAAGGAGCATTTCGATTGGCATTATGGACAAGCACTTCGATTGGCATTCTGAAAGACCCTTCGATTGGTATTCTGAAGGAGCATTTCGATTGGCATTATGGACAAGCACTTCAATTGGCATTCTGAAAGACCCTTCGATTGGTATTCTAAATGAGCCTTTCGATTGGCATTATGGACAAGCACTTCGATTGGTATTATGTCAAGGCCTTCGATTGGCATTCTGAAAGACCCTTCGATTGGTATTCTGAATGAGCCTTTCGATTGACATTATGGGCAAACACTTCGATTAGCATTGTGTCAAGGCAGCTTCGATAATCCCTGGAGTTATAAGGAAGATAATCCCTAGTCAACCCCTTCGAGCCAAAGAAGTAGGAGTTTTCTGTTTTAAACACAAATTGAAACCTTTAATTTAAACCTGGGACAGGGTAGTCTCTTAGTTAATTCAAAAGATGCGCATTGAGGTCGCAAAGCTCTCAGTACATAATACAACGAACGACATCAAAAGCATTCCTCTGGAATCAAAAGACAGTGGTGGTTCCTTATTTCATAGGCAGTCAATCTCTTAAAAGAGAAAAGCCCACTGAGCCAAAACCTATAAAGAAGGCTTAAGAAAACGGGGGCATCCCGCTGACTGTAATCTCGAAAGTAGGAACAGTCAGGCAAAAATTAGGGATAATAAATCAAAAGAACGAGGTCATTACAAATCCTCGACAACAGGAAAAATGTTGCAAAAAATGATGAATGCCTTCAAAAATCCAACTTGTGTGAACCATCACCAAAACGTCGTTCCAAATTCGAATAGAGTTCGACGCATAATTAACTGAGTTTAGGATTGAAGAACATCACGAAGAGCGGGTGGGTACAAATATACTTTGAGCCTTTATCCTTTGTTTCTTAAACCGTGAACCAAGCCACATTACAACCCTTCAAAAGTCCTAACTGAAGCATGGGTTAGTTCGAAAGCATACTGTTACAAAAGGTATCCTGACTCCTGTAAGGCTTTGCCCTAAATCTTGTGTTGAATTTGTCTTATAAAAAGTTTTCTGCTAAAAAACTCATTTTTCAAAACTTCGAGACAAGAATTTTTTTTATTAATAACCAAGTATTAAAATAATATTTCGCAAATAACCGGGTTTCGGAAAAAAATACGCAAATAACCATGTTTCAGATGACTCCCCAAAGGAGGAGCCATCTAAAATGGCGCATGCACCTATATTTTTAAGGGAGGCGCCATCTCACTTGGCGCCTATGTGCTTAGGGCATGCCCTAAGCCAAGTGAGATGGCGCCTAGGTGTATTTTTAGGGCAAAAAAAAATATTTTTTTTCCTTTCCGGTGCATTGCGTGTTGGACAGAGATCAACAAAATGGACTTTTTTATTAAAAAAAAATAATTACATCCAACTGTATTACATTAAAATAACAGGAAAAAAAACAGATTAAAAAAAATGGATACAAAAATACTGGAAAAAAAAATACATCAGTGATCCCCCGGAACCCGGTAATGACCCCCGGTTCCGCATCCCCGTCCTCGCCTTTCTCATGCTGGGTGCCGTCGCGTTTCCTGCTGCGGCAAGGTCGATGGCCCAGCGAAGTCAATGCGGTCCGAATCCATAAAATCAGTCAGATCTCCATATCTAGAAGATCCGCTCTGGTACAGTCGGTTACCCATACCCTCAAAGTTTGGTCGTGTTGGCGGTGGGTGGGGTTCCATGGTTGGTCTGTAGCATTGGTCGTCTGAGTACGGGGGGTAGAAAGGAAATGGATCTTGGGGTGTTTGGTATTGAGGATGTTGGATGGTTTGGTGATATTGTGGGTGATGGTAGGTTGGGTCGGCTTGGTCGTAATCTTCCGACATTCCCATATCAGGGCTAAGGCTAGATGTTGAGGGCGCCATATTGGGATATGTGGAAGACTGAAATTGTGTGTGGGGTATGTGGGTGTACTGGTATTGGGGTTGGTATTGTGGTTGGGTTTGAGGCATATCGGGGTATTGGTAGTTTGCTGGTGATTGTGGTTGGTTGTGCGGCATTTGATTGTAGTTGTGTTGTGGTGGGGAATGTGGTTGGGTGTTTGTGGGTCTGTTTCTTCTTGGGGGTTGGTGGGAGGTTGATGGGTTTTGGGTTTGTTGATGGGGAATCGAGGGTTGTGCCCATTGTGTGCGTGGGTCAACCAAGTACCTTGGATGAGACACGTGCATTTCTGGGTTACTAACCGACCTGTACCACGACAAATATTGATCCGTGTGTCGCATATTACCTTGAGTAAGGAAAACCGGGAATTGCAAGATGTAGCGGTGACGCCTCTGCCACATCTTACACCATTCAGGAGCGAAGTCTTTCCAGTTGGTAAGACCCCACTGGGCGTCGACCCTTTTAAGATGCCATGGGGACAAATCTGTTGGATCACTTGGTATCTCTTGATGCATTCCGAACTGCATCTTCACACGGTCGCTGTGGTGCATCTCCACAATGTTGAACCGAATGATTGTAGTCTTCGCAGTCTAAGTTGTTGCATCCTCCGGGTTTAGATCATGGCCCAAACCCAAATATGGTCTCCAGACAAACTGCGATAAAATTTAAATCAGGTTAGCGCAAAAGTAATGTATAAATAATTTAAATGAATAAAAGTTAAAAGCTACGACGTACGTCATCTGGGCCTAAGTGATCCAACAAATTGCGGTAGAGTGTGACATTGAATCTTGGATTATTGCCGTAATCCATACCCCTCACGCAGTACCTAAAGGAAATGAGAAACATGTTATTCTTAGCATATATTTTGGGAAGAGCAGAATAGTTATAAATGCTATAACTTGATGACTTACTTTGTTGCGTACGGGAAACCGAAAGTGTTGTTGTTGAAGGGGTTTAAGGACTCCATCCTCCACCAACCCCAGGCTTGTAGTAAAAAAGCGCACCCATAAAATGTACATTTTTCCTTGACTGCGTTTTTGCACAAGGAACTGTATAGGTGGGCTAATACTGCAGAACCCCAACTATATTTTCTTGTTTTTTCAAAATTTGTTAGTAAATGTAAGTACATAAAATTTACACTATTTCTCGTACTTTCGGGAAATAAAAATGTACCAAAAAGTATCATAAGATACGTTCTGGCTTTTACTACTCTGTCATTCTCTGAGGAATTTTCATTTAATTCCAAACTTGCATAATGACGTTTCAGCTCAGTGAGTAGTATTCTCTGCCCTCTTGCTCCACCACCTTATACCATATCCCTACCCAATAGTTCTTCACACTGAGAGTTGGGTTGTTGAACCGACCCGTTCACGGCCTTACCGTCGACAGGGAGACCCAGTAGCATGTACACATCCTCTAGCGTGATGGTACATTCACCTATTGGTAGGTGAAATGTATGGGTCTCCGGTCTCCATCTTTCCAACATTGCAAGAATGAACTTCGAGTCAATGGTGCAGTTGGAGATCTTTATCACATGTCCAAA